CATCTTTGCTGCACCCCCGGTTCGCCTTCCTACGAGGCTCGGCGAGAAAGCAGCGCATCGTCGCATCCCCATTACCGATAAGATACCGATCGCGATGCATGTGGATGTGCACGTCCAGCGGCCGCTAATCCGCGCGCCGTGCTCTGATAATTGAGCGAGCCGGCGGACACCGGAAATACGTAACAGCCGTTACTGTCACGGTAACGTCGATGCGGGATTACGAGTTGCTGGCTCGTACTTGCCTGTAACCGGGGTCAATTTGCGACGGCCACAAATTACGGCGGGATCAGCACGCGCAAGTGTCCGTTGAGCGCCGACGAGCTCATCCGGCCAAGCCGCGGCGGCAAGGAGACGCGCGTCGCGCGCGAAAAATTACAATTGCGCGCAAAATAATTGAAATAAAATTACGCGGCGACGACGCACGCTCGAGCGACGACCAGACGGGGGGGGGGATGTCTAATGCGGAGGGCAAGCCGCATCTCGACGCTGTCGTTCGTTTCGAAGGGCTACCGTCGAATTTTCACGCGAGATCGCAAGTCCCCGAGGTGATCGGCAAGTCACCGGGAGAGCGCTAAATCGTAAACACGCTGGGAAACACTCTTGATAAATAAAAAAGGGAAGAGAGAGAGAGAGAGAGAGAAAGAGAAAGCGGGATCGCAAATTTGATCTCGGCGCCAGGTAGACTCGCCAACGCTGATTATTTCGACGGGAACGTAAACTAGTTGGATACCGCAGCTGAAGCACTAATTTACAGTTTACCTCGCGTCGTTGTCAAGAACGTCGCGCACGTGTCTGTAATTAGTTGCGCCGCGCAATGAAAATTTGAGCGCCGTTATGAAAATTCGTAATTATTTATTGTCCCGCTGTTCCGGTTGCGAAACACGCTGTAATTACTGGCGCGTTCGCGCCAAGGTCCATCGCCGGGCTTCGCGTTCCGCGTTTACGGCTGCGGCCACCGACGACGACGAGGACGACGGCGGTGGTGACGAGGACGACGAGGGAAGCGGGAACGTGCTAACTTTCCGACCAACTTTTCGCCGCGATCGCGGGCGGGATCGAAACCGCTGCATCGCGCGCGATTTAATTGCTCGTGCGGCTTCGCAGCGCACCGTCATTATTACTGTTTTAATTAACACGTCAATTTCGTGAGACACGTCATTTTAATTACTCGCATTCCGATTCCGCGCGCCGGTCCGACCGACAAACCTATATACCATACATCTCGGGCCGTATCTCGGGCCGCGGGCTGCTGCAAGAGATTTCCCCTTGCGGAACTTCGCGATAAATCTCGATTAATCCAATCGAGGAGCCATCGGGCGCGGATCTTGGCACGTGACCAATCCCGAGGAAGCGATTGCCGATCGCTTCTCTCGACTCGCCAGGAATAGACCGTCTCTCGTTTAGTTAACTTAGTCGCTCCTTCGATTAGTTAACCCGCTCTCCGCTCCCCGCTCCCCGCTCCCCGCTGCCCCACCGCCACCACCGTTCCCTGCCGCGGCGGAAGGGAACAGACAAGGGGGATGCAGCTTTTTCTTTCCCGAGAAGCTTGCCGACGTAACACAGACACCCTCTTCTTTCGCTCGCTCGCTCTCTTGGCTGCCCGGGTTACCTCGTCCTGCACTCCATAGACCGAGAGATGAGAGAGTAGCCGCTCAGCCGGAAAATCGCTTTAAACCGCGCCGACTAATATTAACTTTCTCCTATCGTTTCGCGAAATTCTCGAACTCTTTTTCGCCCCCGCATCGCGCGCGCACCCCGCCGCACCCTGCCGTCGGGATCATGAAAGCCTTCCCTTCCCGAGGGGCGTACCGAAATTTCCTTATTTGCCGTTCGAACCGGCCGGCTTTGTAGAAACTTCGTTTTATCCCACAAACGGCCGAATGTTTTCCTCCCTCCATCTTGCCGATCTCTCTCCCTCTCTTTCCCTTCCTCCCTCCCGCGATCGATGCGTCTGGAATTTTGTAACGAGGAAATAGGTAGGCGATGCTCGAGCCACGCGGACGATGAAGCTCGTCGTCGTAGTCGTGGTAGTCACGACACCCCAAGGTCGCGTGTAATTAACTACCTCGTGCATACCGCGCGCGCGATCGATCTGGAACTTTCGACTTTCGCGGAGCGTGCCGTCAGGACGATGACTTTTCAAGTTCGGTGATTTATAGCGGCGCAGAAGAGGAGGAGAGAGAGAGAGAGAGAGAGAGAGAGAGAGAGAGAGAGAGAGAGAGAGAGAGAGAGAGAGAGAGAGTCGGCAGAATAGACAGAGGAGGAGAAGCAGGGCCGGGGAGAGGGTGAGGCGCAAGAGCGAAAAGAGCGGCGCGATCCGGGTCACTATTTCAAACTGGCTAACTTTATGCGAGCGATTTTACGGCGCAACAAACTGTCGCGTCCGCAGCGTGAAACAGTAATGCCTTCCGCTTCTCGTATAAACCAGCCGCATTCCACGACGAGCGTAACTCACGCGAGGCCGGCTAACCGGCCCGCTAAAAGCGCCGTGCCGCGTACACGGTGCGTTCGAAAAAGCGAACACGCACCTCTGCCGCTTCTTTTCAGCCGCTTAACGACTCAATGAGAGTATCCTAGTGAGATCCTAATTAACTCCATACTCGCCATGAATTCGTGCCTCCGCGGTAGCGTATAAATACTTCGCTGTGTACGACGCAGTCTCCTCCTTCTCTTCCTCTTCTCTCTCACTGTCTCTCTCTCTCCCTCTCTCTCTCTCTCTCTCTCTCTCTCTCTCTCTCTCTCTCTCTCTCTCTCTCTCTCTCTCTCTCTCTCTCTCTCTCTCTCTCTTACTTTCTCTCTCTCTCTCCCTCTCTCTCTCTCTCTCTCTCTCTCTCTCTCTCTTACTTTCTCTCTCTCTCTCTCTCTCTCTCTCTCTCTCTCTTTCTCTCTCTCTCTCTCTCTCTCTCTCTCTCTCTCTCTCTCTCTCTTCTAGGATGTTGAGCCAGTTTACGAATCATTAGCGGGAGCTTTCATCCACCGAGATGAGGATATCGTAAGCTCGCACGTGCTTTTGCTCCCGCTTCCAATTAAAGGCGGAGCTGGATATCCTGGTCTTCCGTTTAATCGCTAAGAAAATTACACGACCGCTCGCAAGCGATCGTGCGCACGCGCGCGCGTGCACACAAGCTCGGAGCAATCGGGAAAAAACGCGAATTAAAGTCGGACGTTAATGTTTCGTAGGTTTTCGCGTGGGAGGAGAGAACGGATGCGCCCGACGAGATGGAAAATATTGACTCGGGTATCAGATTTTAATCAGCCGCTGAGAGCGAAAATATTTGGCAGAGGGCGATGCGTGCGCGATCCGCACAGGGGATTCTGAAATTAAGAGAAACTCGTCTCTCTATCTCTCTTTCTCTCTGTCCGACCGGGCGCAAAGGCGTGACGCGATCGAGGGACGCGTGCGTCAGCAACGTCCTCCCCACGGAGAGCAAGAGAGAGAGAGAGAGAGAGGGAGAGAGAAAAAGAGAGACAGAAGGACCTCAAACACGCGTAATCCGCGCGAAATTACTGCGTGCCGGCGAAAAGCTTCGCGAGTAAGTTTCGAAAGCGTACCTACCGTCGCGCTCAGGTGGTCAAATATGTACTCTGGGGTAGCCAAACACACACCGGCAGTCTTTTGCGCGTACGGCACCGCTCGCAGCTGTACGTGCTAAAATATCCATCGCGACATACGTCGCATGCAGTCGCGCTGCGCAAAATGCAACGTTAATCTCGCTATTCGGCCGGAGTGAGTGCGACCTCTCGGCGAAAAATTCGGCCGGAAGGCGCGCGCGCGCACGCCAAATTGCACAAACTGCACACGTGTATGTGCATGTGTGTGTGTGTGTGTGTGTGTGTGTGTGTGTGTGTGTGTGGGTGTGTATAGTGCAAAACGAGGAGGAGGAGGAGGGAGGGCGAAAAGGCGATGTTTCGACGCCTTCGCATTTTCTTTCCGACTACGGCCGGTGGTCGGAATGTATTCGCGACTCGGAGTCGATTAGCGACGTTTCATTTTACAAATGGCGAAACCTACTTTCCGTCCGTTCGCGTCGCCGACGGGCTAAAATGGTGCATATTTTATGGTGCGCGTTTAATTGCGCGCGAGTAGCGAAAATGAAAAGTCAAAGACACGTTAGTAGCACTCGTCAAATTGTCGCTAGCGGAAAATCTACTTCAAATTTGTCAGCCTGCAGCTGAAACGATATTCAATAACGGCGACACGCCCTGTATATAAAATATACTCACATTCAGCGGGGCGGACATGTGTCTGCAAAACATTTCGGCCGAATATTTTTCCGCTTCCAATACGATAACTTCTAACTCACTTTACGGCCATTCGCGGTCATACGTCGCCGCAATGAAATCATCCTCCGCTCCACTTTGCACGCTGATAAAGTGCTTAATATTTTAATCGTTCGTTTAACGAGCGCGATGCCCGCGAGAATATTTCGCGCTTTGCAGCGCGTACAATCAAAATAGCCGATTGGGTTTTGGACTGGCGAAATAGTCGGCCGAATGAGCCGACTCGCGGAATCGTTTTATTTGCCAAATCACACGCTTTTATCGGGCGATATTATTTGATAAACCTATGTATATAATCTTTCACTATTATTTAGGAAAATAAAAGAGGCAGAGAGAGATATTGTGTGTGTGTGTGTGTGTGAGACTTTGCGATATGCATATTTCTCTCTCGCTCCTCCGATTCGCGCACACTACGCGCCTCCAAATTTCTAATAATTCGAACATCAGTGGGATTCGATTAGCGAACGTAGAATACCGACGACGCGACGCGATTACGCGCAAATATTACGTACAATATTATTTACATGGAGAAAAACACTCGGCGAAGATTGAGACTTGTTATCCATCAGCTCAACGCGATAAGCCTCAACTGACAAAGCGTGCGCTGGCGGTCTCCGACCCGTTAACACGTTAATAACGGCGTGTTGTTTTTCTCCAGACACGCGTGCTTAATACACCGCGCGTTACCGCAGCGTATAAACTTCCTTTTCACGTTACAGCGTAATGAACAACAACAGCGTCGAGCAGCCGGATCCGGACAACATAAAGATGTTCGTGGGTCAGGTACCTCACGACATGGACGAGAACGACCTGAGGACGATGTTCGAGGAGTACGGTCGAGTGCACCAGATAAATATCCTGCGGGACAAGATCACCGGCAGTCACAGGGGTAAGTGATCGTACGATTTTCCGGGGCGACTCGCGCGAGGGAAGCCTCAAAGTTGGCCCACGCACCGCCGATCATCGGCGTTTTCATTCGAATTCACAGGACGATGAGCGCGAACGGTCGCGGCGACGGGAGGACGAAGGAGAGCACAGAGCAGGTGCGTTTACGAACCGGCGGGAGGAACGATAAAATGTCGCGATCGCGCATCGCGATCAATCTCGGATACCATATCCGGTCGCTGCGATGACGAACGAAAATCGCTCGCGAGAACCGCTTCTCGCAGACTCGCGGCTCCCGGAGCTGAAAACACACCGATGAAATTCGACGGCGGTGAATAAATCTGTCGAGAATCACATTTCCGGCCACTTCGATTAATTCTCTCCGCCGACGTTTCGCAATTTAATCGAATTTTCAATATGTTCGCGAATCGTTTTGCGCCGATTCGCGCTACATTATTGGCGTACTTTCGTACAATGAGGCGTACCGAAATTAGCCGCGTTATTTCGAATAATCCGGCTTTTTCGGGATTTCGAGTTGCTCGGTTATCAAAATCGAATTGTCCCTCGTTACATTTCCCGAATTGGCGGATACGAGCCGCAAACGGTGAGCGGGACGAGCAGGTCCGGGCGAGAAGAGAAACGAAACGGGCTAAGGAACGGAGACATGTGACGTAACGATTTTTCAGCAACCCCGACGGCAACGTTTCCGAGCGGAGTTTTATTCCCTCGCAAATTATTTAGCGCCAGGCAGTGAAAATCACAGGCCAGAAATTGAAGTTTCGCCGGTCCCGCGCGCGTGTGCGACCGTCTAAGATAAGGATAACGAAGGTAGATTGTACGTGTAACATACGTACACTCTAGTCAGGAGCACTGGTCGTTTCCGCGGTCTTTCCTCGGGGTATATCGATCGGGGTAGGGGGTGAGCGAGCCCGAGAGAGAGAGAGAGAGCGAGAGAGAGCGAGAGCAACCCCCGTGAGACTCGGTAACGTCCCCACGTCCGAATGCGCGCTTGTAACGCGGCTGCCACTGAAATATGCACGTGCTTGCCAATAACGAGCCTTAACGCTCGCTAAACGTCACCGGCATCGGCGAAAGTTTGCGCAATTACTTTCGCCGTACGGATGACTTCAAGTTTGCGGCCAGTGCAGAAGTCAGGCGTCGCGCGCGGTTGCCCGGTACGCGTGTGTATGTGTGTGTGTGTGTGTATGTAGTGTGTGGGCATTTACATATGTATATATGTGGGTGTGTACATCTAAGAGGGAGAGGGTATCGATTTCTACGCATACGTACGAGACGCGGTCAAAGTTCGCCATGGAGATTGCCAAGCGTAATTACACTCGTACCGCGATAAAGCGTGCCCCGAAATAGCGAGGGGCGAGGGGAAATGACGTCCCATTGCGCTATCGTGGCAATAGCAGCGGGAGAGAAACTGGGTTAGAGAGATTAGTGATGAATAAATTAAAATTTCGCCATAGCTCGCGCAGTGTACGAGCGCGGCCGCGTTGGAGTTCTCGCGGAAGGCTCCATTTTCCGCGATCGATATTTCGTCAATGACGGATCGCCCGATATCGCTGCGCGGACGAATGACGAGAGAATCGCCCCCTCCATTTTTTCTTCCTGTCGGCTATCGCGATTCTGATGATGATGATTTTTATCATTATGATCCGTGCAACGGATATCGCCACGCGCGGCCCGCATTCCCGCTAATTCGCGTGAGCTTTCCTGATTGAGCGGCGATCTTCGCAGGAATCGCCGCGCTAGATAAGTGGATCTGTATGTTAAATGTACGCGATGCGCGCTAGCCGAGTAGGAAGACGCGCGAGGCGTCAGGATTCTGAGAACTCGCGGAATAATTAATGTGGGCGAATTGTAAACGTCACGCGCATCTGCAAAATTGATGGCGGCAGCCAGTACAAGCGGGATGAAATTCGTTCCCCATTGTGAAAATTTAACTTGATTACCATGACGTAATGGTGAATTAATGTCCCGTTCGCGGCCCTTTGTTTAATGCATCGCATTTTAGATTCAAAATCTCTGTCAACGCCGGCGGTCTCAATTTCGCGACAAAACAGATGAGTAATTACCAGCTTTGCCAATTAACTCGCGGCGAGACGCGATCGCCAGGCGCGTCAAACGGACGCGCCTTCTTCGTTCGGCCGTGTCCCGAGTATTCCAACCGAATAGGCTAATTGTCATCGGACGCGTTACGTCACGGGAATATCTCTCACCTCGCAATGCGGCGGCGGCGACGGCGACGGCGTTTTAGCGCTATCGAAATTATATTACTGAAATTATATTACTTGAAGTAAAATGCGCGCGCGGAATAATACGCGCGCGCTCGACATGGCGAGCTCGTGTACGCCTGGCTCTTTCCCCTCCCCCCCCCCTCTCTCTCTCTCTCTCTCTTTCTTTTTCCTCTCTCTGACCAAACAGCGAGACGGAAGATAAATTCTACAATACATCGAGAGGCGCTCTCGCTCTCTCGGTGGAAATAAAACGCTGGAATTCCGAGAAATTCTATATTAATTAAGCCGCGAAGCCGAGTCGCGGCGTAAGCTCTACTAAAAATTAACAAAGAGTACCTGTGGAATATGTTTGATTTACGCCAGAATAAATTTAAGCTCTGGAATTATCGACAAGGAGATGCCCGTAACGTCACGGTCGTCGTCGTGTCGTCAGCGTCGTCGTGACGACGAAAAAGAATCGCCACGACCATATCCCATTGATCATTATGGTATCGTGATACATCTCTCGCGTTTCATTTTATGCGCTCCTCATTAAATCAGCTTTGAGATAACTTCGCTGCGCGATAAAATATTTTTAATTGAAGCACACGGCCGAGAAAGAGAGAGAGAGAGAGAGAGAGAGAGAGAGAGAGAGAGAGAGAGAGAGAGAGAGAGAGAGAAAGAGAGAAAGGTATAATGTACAGCGTAATCCGACGTAATAAGGCAACGCTTTCTTCCACCGCATTGTGCTCGACTGGATCGACTTGGTTATCAATTAAACGAACGCGAGCACGATAATCGTTCGAGCCGCACGTTTCGCGCCGAAATACGATTATTTCGTCAAGTCAGCGAAAGTAATTGACGGGGCTGTGTTATAACGTCGATCACGATTCCCTTCCCGGATGGGTAGAGCGCAACGGACGTGCACTGAGACGAGGCAATTTTATCACAAAGCGGCAGCTCACATTGCGGTAACGTAATCAGTTGGGGCATTACCGTGCTAATTCAAGTATGCCCGCTCTCTCGAAACAAGAGATTTCCCCGCGCGGAAAAGAGATTAAACGACGAAGTCACCTGCTTTCGAGATCAATATCGTCGAAGCGAGCGTCCTGTGGAATGTTCAATTTGGCGGGTCAATAGGAGACAGCGAACTCGCCGCGAACTCCTTTTATGTCCGATTAAAACGAGTGCGGAATCGTGTTCGCAATGAAGACCTCCGAGATTGCCATCGCAGCCAATATATTGGAATCTCGAAAGTGTCCGACTGGGTCCGCTTCTTGTCGCAAAGTAGCGGAATTCGATACTCCGCTACTTTGTGAGACACGGTACGACGACGAGAACGACGTCGACGTCGACGACGACGACGACGACAACGACGACGACGAGGACAACGACAACGACGATGACGACAACAAGATCCTTTGCAAACAAGAAGAAAGGAGGAGGAAAGTGGAGGAAATGGAGGAGGGGTAGAAGCAGCCACCGCTGTTGCTTTCCCTCTGCAGAATTTTCCACGCGGAATTCCGTTATCCCGCCGGCCGAAAAGACGTCGGGAAATGTTTTAGTTAAATTAACAAAGCTCTCTCTCTCTCTCTCGCGTGCGCGCGCGGCGATGCTATCCTGTGTGTCGATTGCGAATTCCTCCTCTTCGACGAGCTTCCTGTTACCCGTTGCCTGCGAGGATATACGCTATCGTTGCGAAACGCGTTTGTCTCTCGTATCTTCGTTGCCAAAAGCTATCTCTCTCTTTCTCTCTCTCGCAACTGGCATACTTCGCGCTCGCGAATCGCGCTCCGGTGGATTTGTTTGCCTCGCTACCTACGCGGAAATACGAATCGACTGCTTATTACATCCTCCTTCCCCCTGCCTCTCAACCGAAGTACACTCCGACATTAATCACGCGGCCCTATTAATCGTCCTTAAGTCGTGCCATGCTCACGTCACCTTGCTCTTTCACGTCCAAGAAAGCCGAACTTCGTCAACGCGGCGGCGGCGGCGGCGGCGGCGGCGGTGGCTGTCTTTAAGGGCCCCCATAGAGATCGGCTGTACTATTTGTCAGTCCGATATAGCGCGCCTGAAAACGGCCTCGCGAAGATCGATATCCTTCCCACGAGCTTTGCCGTGTGTGCGCTCTCACGCCGCCACCGTCACTCACAATAATCGATTTCTCACGTACGGAATTTCGCGGACGGGGAAGTCGCTATTGAGACGTCTCCGAATCTGAGGGGACGGGAACTCGGCGCGGTATCGGCAAAATTTGCCGGATTATAGGCAGATCGGATGTCGCTTCGAGCGATCGATTTTCCTCCCGTCTGTCTATGCGTCGTCGTTTCCATTGCATTTTCCGCGAGAACCACGCGTGCTTTGAGCGTCTTGTCTCGCGGACGGCCGAACTTTGTCTCCTTCCGCCTAACGGTTATTTTCCCGTGTCTATTTGTGTCGTACGACTTCCGGTCTCTCTTTCTCCCGCCCCCCCCTCTCTCTCTCTCTCTCTCTCTCTCTCTCTCTCCACTCCACTCCACTCTCTCCCAAAGGTTACCGAAATCGCGAAGAACGCCCGAGTCGTCGTAGACCGTGCACTTCAGGATTACGCGAGAAACTTTAAACGAAACTCCGGCGCGGAAGTATCGCAAAGCTGCTTCCGAAGCGAGCTCGTGTTCCAACACGTGCAAGCCGGATTCAAGGTAGTTCTTGGTTCTTTCCGCAGGGGAGAATAGCGGACTTTTCGAAGACAGATAAATTTTTGAAGTCCCATAACGGCCACGCCGAGCTGATAACT